GTCTAGAGTTTGACATTTAAAAAAAAAAAGTTTATGAAAGTGCAGATTTCAGTAGAAACAGACATTTTAAAATTGTTACCGCCTCCCGGATGTCACTCATACAGCTCTTACATTAGCTCGAGAGAACAGGCCCACCTTCCCTTCCTTCTCAATAAAGCAGTGAGAATTTTTGGAAAGCCACTATCATGTGCAATCATTAATGCATGGCTCCAGCAGAGGCTTCTCAGTGAGAAGCCTCTGACTGGATTATTCCCCAGCACAGACTGAAAGTCTGATGTCTTGCACATGGTACAGACAGCAAGTCTGCATCTGTGCAGAAAAAATATACTTTTTTTTTGTGTGTGTGGAGGTATATCTACTAAATTGTTGGGGGAGAGGAGTGGAGGGATAATCAAGTGAGTTTTCCTTTAATTCAGTAATGTATTTTAAAGGATGTCATTGTTCAACTGATTTTATGTCTTTAAAGTTTACTACCTATCTTATGGTCTCTTCATCTCACCACTCCATACTCAATCCCTATCTGTATCTCTCCTCTTTAACCCCCCATCTGTATACATCATTCTTTATTAACCTCCATCTGTGTCTCTCATTCTGTGCAAACCCTCATCTGTGTCTCACGCTGTCCAAACCCCCATCTGTGTTTCTCCACTTGCCCAAACCCCCATCTGTGTCTCTAACAGTGTCCAAACCTTCATCTGTGTCTCTGACTGTCCAAACCCCATCTGTGTTTCTCCACCTGTCCAAACCCCATCTGTGTTTCTCCACCTGTCCAAACCCCATCTGTGTTTCTCCACCTGTCCAAACCCCATCTGTGTCTCTGACTGTCCAAACCCCATCTGTGTTTCTCCACCTGTCCAAACCCCATGATCTGTGTTTCTCCACCTGTCCAAATCCTCATCTGTGTCTCTCTACATCAGTTAACTTAACACCCATAATCTTTATCTCTCTCCACTTGTAAACCCCATGATCTGTGTTTCTCTGAACCAGTAAACACCCATCTCTGTCTTTCCTTGTTGCCCCGTGGGTCTCTTTGCAGCCTGTCCTCCCACTTCTCTCCCACAATCCCTCACTTACCTGACATGCAGTCTGTCTGCAGTCTGGGATCTGTTGGTTGATCTTGCACTGCTCTGTGCTGCTCCCCCACATATTCAGTCAGTATAGAGAGCCAGGGAGATAATGTAATTTCCTATCCACGCCTATCTCCATCCCTGGCCCCTGCTGGTATTGCAGTCTAATGTGTTTTGCAAGATCAGCACCAGCCTGGCAGCCTCAAATACCGGCTGTGCAGGCAAACTCATGGCCAGGTGGCAAACCTATCAGTGACTTTAAGGCTGACACACACCCATTTTGGAGGGATCACCCATTTAATTGCAGGATATCCAACTATAACCTCATTGGTATGCTCACTATTGGCTTGCCCTGCACCCAGTCCCATATTCATACCTCTCAATGTTTAAAGGTATCTTTACACAATGATGGTTTATTTGTGAAGTATGTGTCCGTTTAGTTTTCTATTACACTGCAATGTAAAATAATATGCATTACAATAATCTATAATTACTATAACCTTATCTCCAACTCATCCCAGCTCTGGTCTCTACCTGCTTGAGAAGTTGACTCAACTACAGATCATCTACAACATTAAAGCCACCTGCCTAATATTGTGGAGGCCCCCTTGTGCTGCCAAAGCAGCTCTAATTAATTGAGGCATGGACTCCACAAGACCTCTGAATGTATCTTGTGGTATCTGGCACCAAGACATTAACAAAATATCCTTTAAGTCCTGCAAGTTGTGAAGTGGGGCTCAATGGAATCAGATTTGTTTTTCCAGCACATCACATAGATGCTCAATCGGATTAAGATCTGGGGAATTCAGAGGCCAAAGCAACACTTTGGACTCTTTGTCATGTTCCGGATACCATCACTGAACATTTTTTGCCGTGGGGGAGGGTGCATTAGCCTGCTTAAAGCGGCCACCACCATCAGGAACACCATTGCCATGGAGGGGTGTACATAGTCTGCAACAATCGCTAGGTATGTGGTACATGTTAAAGTAACATCCACATAAATGCCTGGACCCAAAGTTTCCTAGCAGAACATTGCCCAGAGCATAACACTGTCTCTGCAGCCTGCCTTCTTTCCATGGTGCATCCTGCTGCCATCGCTTTCCCAGTTAAACAATGCACCTAATCTAAGATAAAATGTGATTCATCAGACCTGGCAACCTTCTTCCTTTGCTCCATGGTCCAGTTCTGACATTCACATCCCCATTGAAGGCACTGTCGGCAGTGGACAGAGTCATCATAGGCACTATGACCGGTCTGCAGCTATGCAGCCTCGCATGCAACTAACTGAAATGCACTGTATGTTCTGACACCTTTCTATCATGGCCAGCACTAGGTTTTTCAGCAATTTGAGCTACAGTAGCTCTTCTGTGTGATCTGACCTGACGGGTAGCTTTTGCTACCCGTGTTCATCAATGATCCTTGGGTGTCCAAGTACCTGATGCTGGTTCCTTCCTTGCACCACTTTTGGTAGGTACTAACCACTGCATACTGGGAGCATCCCACAAGACTTGTCATTTTGGAGATGCTCTGACCCAGTCATCTAGCCATCACTATTTGGCCCTTGACAAAGTCACTCAGATCTTTTTGCTTGCCCATTTTTCCTGCTTCCATCACATGAAATTCAAGATCTAACTTTAAATTCTTTGTAATTGTTGGGGAAGCATAACAAGGTAGCTGCTAAAACTGGACAAAAAAGGGAACTCTGAATTTTACACCATTAAAAAAAAATAAAAAAATTGTAAATCTATAATGTTCAATAACTGTTATTTCTTGTAATGCTCTCAGAGTCCATAAATCACCTGTTGCATACAAGATGACTAAACTTGACTGAGAGTAATACAGAATGTGCTCCCCCAATCCACTCCCAACCCTCCACTGTCAAAGTGGGTAACCAAACCCTGCAACTTCCCTTAGATGTAGCAAATGCCTTTAACAATTATTTTGTCGGATGCTCTACTGCCCTGATTGCCAAGCTAATAAATGACACGCATCCTGAAACTACAAATGTGGATCAGGCCCCACTGAATTTGCAAAGGCCCAATATAGATAAGTTTAATTTTAGACCTGTACCTGTTAGTGTCATTAAAAAACATCTTAATAATCTAAAAATGAAAAACCAGTCCGGACCTGATCAAATCCCAGCAATGCTGTTGAAGCTCAGTGCGCCGGCAATTGCTAAACCCATCTCAACTCTAATTAACAAATCCTTGGTGTCTGGATACATACCCAAACTTTGGAAGACCCGAGAGTAGTGCCTATTCATAAAAGTGGTGACACTACTTTGGTTTCTAACTATCGCCCAATATCATTGCTCCCGGTATTGTCAAAAATCTTAGAAAAATGTGTCTATACGCAACTTTGTGAGTACTACCAACAATTAAACTATCTGACCCCTGATCAATCGGGCTTTCGCCAGAATCACTCCACTACAACTGCCCTCCTAAAAGTTTGCAATGACATCCAAACTGGCATGGAACAAGGAGCCCTAACTGGAGCTATTTTCCTTTATTTTGCTAAGGCCTTTGACACAGTAGACCACGACATTCTACTGCACAAACTCGAAAACTCAGGTATTGGTGATCATTCTCTAAACTGGTTTTGATCGTATGTATCGGATCGCTCACAATATGTGTCCATTTCTGACAGTGACTCCCTCCCTCTCCCAGTCACGTGTGGTGTTCCCCAGGGTTCCATTCTCGGCCCCCTTTCTATTTACATTATTTATAAATGATCTGCCTAATGTCTGCCAATCCTCAAATGTACACATGTACGCAGATGACACGGTAATCTATGCGAGCAAATCCAATCTACCGCAACTTGAGGCTTTGCTCCAAGGCCAGTTTACAGAGGTAGAAAAGTGGATCGCAAAAAACAAACTCTTCCTGAACACTGACAAAACTGTCACAATGATCTTTGGAACAGTACCTAAATTACACAATTCCCACCTATCCATCAAAACAAATTCAAATGGCACACTGACCGCAGTCCACTCTTTCAAATACTTGGGTATGATATTAGACCACAATCTATCTTTTGGCCTGCACATAGAAAAGCTTTCATCTAAACTTTATCCAAAATTAGGTGCCCTGTACAGAAACAAAGCCTGCCTAAGCCCTACAGTAAAGGAAAAGATTGTACAGCAAATGCTGATGCCAATAATTGATTATGGGGATGTAGTATATGCGTCTGCATCGCAATCCCACATTAATAAACTCAACACATTGTATAACTCGTTCTGCCGATTTGTGCTACAATGTAATTACAGGACCCATCATTGTGACATGCTAAAGGAACTAAACTGGCTATCGCTGGAATCCAGACGCACCCTTCATCTTTCCAGCCTTGTTTTTAAGAGCTTTTCTGGGAAACTCCCACCCTACCTGAACAAAATGCTTTCCCCAGCTGTTCCCACTTTCTATAAGCTCTGATCCAGTACAAGCACTTTACTTAGTCTACCTCAATACAAAAAGAAAGCGGCCTGATCCTCCTTCTCCTACAGAGCACCGCAATTGTGGAACGACCTCCCGCACAATTTAAAATCTTCCCTAAGCCTAAAGTCATTTAAGAGATCCCTCTCTACATACCTCAAAACAGAATGCACGTGTCATGGTTGATTATATATTTCCTGCCTGTTCTATGTTAAATTTTGTATATATTGTGTATTAATATTGTTTTTGTATTTTGTTGTACCTAATGTAACAATGCAATGATTTGTGGACCCAGGACATACTTGAAAACGAGAGAAATCTCAATGTATCTTTCCTGGTAAAATATTTTATAAATAAATAAATAATGTTTCAACAACATTCTAAACAGATATAGAACACGGTTCAATCTTTATAAGCATCACTATTGCATTTGTATACCAACAATGTATTTACATTAAGTAAATTCTAATTTTTTTTTCTCTTTCTCTGTTTAGTAACTGAGCTGGTGGGATCAAAGCAACGCCGAATTGTTGGTATTGTGGTTCAGATGTTTTTCACCCTTGGAGTCATGATCATTCCTGGAATTGCTTACTTAATTCCTACATGGCAGGGCATCCAGCTGGCCATTTCATTGCCAAACTTCCTCTTTCTCTTCTATTACTGGTAAAAACAACACATTTTTACATAGTATATTAATTTTGCCATAATCTGTAAGGGAAAGAAAAGTCAGAGATAGAAATAGTAAGAGAGTAGTCAAAATTGGTGTTTCCAGTGCTCAATTACCTTGAGAAGTAAATAAAGCATTGACTCCCTTTTTACAAAACTGGCTTGGAAAAGGCATGTTTCTTTCCATACCTGTTTTGTGAATGGAGAGTTACTAATTGGCTGAGAGCTACAGCTGACCGTTCTCAGCCAATCAATGGCGTGCCTGCCCACGGTCATGCCACGTTTCCGTAAACTAAAAATTTCAGAACCCAAATACAGCATAGGGGTACCTGAGGATTGGCACTGGGGGTGTCTTTTGGATTAAACCAAGAACACTCTAACCCCTTTAGCCCGGGGGTCTCCTGGCACCATAACAACTACATTTAGATTAATTTATTATGGTGCCTAAAATGTCTCTTTAAATGAAATGATTAACATATAAGCCATGCATGGATATATCCAGAAAAAACAACCAAACAGGAAAAATAGAGAAAAATATAAATGACCACAAAAACATTAATTTAGTTATGATTAAAGATGATATGAAGAGCTTAGATCTCACACAATGTGTCAAAGGCTGTTATAGAGTTGCAGGCTTTAATATCCATGTGTGAACCTAGATGAATAAGAAGAACGTTTGACTGGTGCCCTGGATTGTTGCCAAAAATGCTTGTTTCTCCAGGGAAATTCTTTTTAAGGTCCAGACCTGAACTGTGCGCTCAAGATGTCTCTATCCCTTCAAAGACCCTGGTGTGCACCACATACATTTGTATGTTGGTTATGAACTAGTTATTCTGGTGACAAGAAGGGTGAGGTTAGTGACAAACATGTGGAGACAGTGCATATGTTAGGAACCCAGAGTAAGGCACAGAAATCTAAGATACTCCATACTTCCCTCATCACCTTCCAAAAAATGCAGTTAAAGTAAGTTTAATGAATTTATAAACTGGACATTTCAGACATAAACAAACTGAAAAAACAACAACATATATCCAAATTTAAATCCAACAATAAGTGCAAACGCTTTGTAGATACACCCCTATAACGTAGTTTGCTTAGAGGTAACTACTGTTCATAAGCTTAAATATAACACAAAATAATCAAAATTACTGTACTGTATTTAGATAAATAATTAAAAAAAACACTAATTTAATGTGGAAAGCACACACTGTGAAGGCAAAAAATTATCTGAAAAATTTATTACCTAAAATTCTTCAATACTGTAGATAAAACTCCTCCAAGTCCTCAATAAAACACACAAGAAAACAAGGTATCTATGGTAGAAAAATGGAACAAACACTCATAGAGTAGTATTGTACAAACGCTGAACAGTTTGACCAACTTCAATGCCCCATAATTTTCAATTAAAATGTACATTCTATACACTATAATTGAAAATTCTATTTTTAAGGTATTGTTTCATTGTACAGTCTGACCTTGGAGTGAATTTGCTGGGACGTCTACTTCTGGGAAGATTGGCAAGTGTTTTAAAAGTTTTCCACTTTTGAATAATCTTTGGGCAGCAACAATTGCTTCTCTAAGCTCTAAGATCATTACTGATGACTTTCCTCCTTGACAATGCTCCAGATCAGCAAACTGGTAAAACTTCGGTAAAGCGGGTTACACTTGCTGATGATCAATTAGTCAAGGGCATTTGATTAGCAGCACCTGTCTGCTCCTTAGCATCTTAATTCCTATGGAAGCAATAAGGGTGACCTTAGTTTTTCACACATGGCTTCTCTATTTTGACTTTATATTTGTTAAATAATGGTGTAATATGTAATGTGTTGTTTATCATCTTGTCATTTTAATACCTGTTAAGGAATAGATGGTTGTTATTATTTCCTAATATGTAAAACCGTAGAATTCAAATAAGGGTGTACTTTCTTTTTCCTATAACTGTAAGTGCTTGAAATAGGCACTGCCTGCAGCAGGTGGAGGCAACCTTCGGCACTCCAGATATTGTGGACTACATTTCTCATGATGCATTATCAGCATTATGACTGTATGAGCATTATGAAAGATGTAGTCCAAGATACCTGGAGTGCCAAAAATGTCCTACCCCTGCCCTTTAGCACAGAAACCTACTCTGCCTAATGGGAAATACAGCTTTGGATTTGGAAGAATAAAATATAATTGCTGAAATATACAGTTAGATGAAAGTATGTTAGTTACTTCATGTTTACCTTAAAGGGACACTAGGTACCCAGACCACTTAATCGCATTAGAGTAGTCTGGGTGCAGTGCAATATCAAACAATACAGTTTCTGAGAAACTGACATTTTTACATTGTAGGGTTAAGCCCACATGTGGTAGCTGTCTTCCGTACAGTCACTAGTGTTTTTCCTGGTGCCTAACAGAGTTTTACTTTGTAAAATGGTATTGTATGTCCTTTGCATGAGGACGTCTAACATCTTAAAATTCCTTATTAGAAAGCATTGATTCAATGCTTATTTATGGGGAAACCTTGGTGTGCACAAGACAAGAACATTGTGTTCACATTAGGTCCCACAATTGCCTTGATGTTGCGGGAAGAGTAGACCTAGCCAGTGCAGAGAGAGCTTTTATGCATGAATTATGGTAAGTTAAAAAGGGTTTTAAAGCTTTAACTTGACCAATGGGGTGGGGGACCTAATCAGTTAATTATAAGGACACTATATACACATTTGATTTGATTAAGCTAGTTACTTGCTGTTGATTGCTGGTTAATTAGCTATTGTTTGCAAATAAGCAGAGGCCTACCCAGGTGTTAATCATTCCTAGTGGGCGGTGATTTTAGGAGTTATATAAGGCCTGGTTCCATTAGCTTGTCTAATATAGCTTGGTGCTACTTCCAAGTGCTGTTTCTAAGTGTGTCGTTGGAGATATTCTGGAGAGTTTTACAGAAGCTTCAACTGTCTAAGAGTTGTGCTAAGAGCTTTCTTTTCTACTGTTACAGGTAGGATTCATCTGTAGGAAAAGGTTACTGATTGCCCAAGGTTTGAATTCCTGTTGGTAATTATAAGGCATTTGATTTGATTAAGCTAGTTACTTGCTGTTGATTGCTGGTTAATTAGCTATTGTTTGCAAATAAGCAGAGGCCTACCCAGGTGTTAATCATTCCTAGTGGGCGGTGATTTTAGGAGTTATATAAGGCTTGGTTCCATTAGCTTGTCTAATATAGCTTGGTGCTACTTCCAAGTGCTGTTTCTAAGTGTGTCGTTGGAGATATTCTGGAGAGTTTTACAGAAGCTTCAACTGTCTAAGAGTTGTGCTAAGAGCTTTCTTTTCTACTGTTACAGGTAAGATTCATCTGTAGGAAAAGGTTACTGATTGCACAAGGTTTGAATTCCTGTTGGTAATTATAAGGCATTTGATTTGATTAAGCTAGTTACTTGCTGTTGATTGCTGGTTAATTAGCTATTGTTTGCAAATAAGCAGAGGCCTACCCAGGTGTTAATCATTCCTAGTGGGCGGTGATTTTAGGAGTTATGTAAGGCCTGCTGTTTCTAAGTGTGTCGTTGGAGATATTCTGGAGATAACCTGGAGGTAATCTGAGGTATTCAGGAGGATAAATACAAAAGTTAAGATTTGTTCGATTTATATTATTCTTATAATTGGAATGGCAGGTTTAGTTCAGTGTAACAATTGCTATGCATTTGTTTCACGTTCCAGTTTTTGGAGGTTTGGTTGTTGTCTAATCTGTAGACAGTTCTCTATCTTGCGGCAGGAGATTGTATTTTTGAAGTCTGAGATTTGTAAATTATCTGGTGAAGAAACTCAGACTGGAACTGCTGCAAAGCCACTGCCGCAGAGACATGCTAGGAAAGGCAGATGGATTACTGTAGGATCTGGTAGACTTAGAGTTGTGGATAAAAGGCATTTTGCACAGTCTGTTGCTCTTCATAATTCATTTTCTGCACTTTCAGAGTGTAATGGTGTTGTGGAGAGAGGCACTGAGGCTAGTGGTGTTGTGGAGAGAGGCACTGAGACTAGTGGTGTTGTGGAGAGAGGCACTGAGACTAGTGGTGTTGTAGAGAGAGGCACTGAGGCTAGTGGTGTTGTAGAGAGAGGCACTGAGGCTAGTGGTGTTGTAGAGAGAGGCACTGAGGCTAGTGGTGTTGTAGAGAGAGGCACTGAGGCTAGTGGTGTTGTGGAGAGAGGCACTGAGGCTAGTGGTGTTGTGGAGAGAGGCACTGAGACTAGTGGTGTTGTGGAGACCGGCTTGGAGAGTATGGTGAAGCCTAATAGAATAGCTTTGGTGAAGTATGGTGAAGCCTAATAGCAGTTGTTGTTGGGTGATTCCATTATAAGAGGTGTGGAGATGGACAATGGTGGTCTTGTGAGGTGTCTTCCCGGAGCTACTGCTCACAGAGACAGGAGACGTATCTGTAATATTGTTAAGCAAGCAAAGCAGGAAGGGGAATTGGATGTACTTGTCCATCTAGGGACAAAGCGGCTTGGCCTGCAATGAGGTTTTCAGAGGGTTAAGAGGAAGTTTTGGTATTTTGCCAATGATGTCACGGCGGGTTGGCTACACTGTATCATTCTCTGAAAGTTCTGCTGTGCATAACACTCCAGAGCGACAAGGATCGCATTATTAGGGACTTTAATTTGTGGCTTGGTGAATGATTAGCCGGGAGCAAGGATTTGGCTTTGGCCTACTCATGGTAGCTCTGTTTGGAATGGGAGGAATGGCTACTTTTAAAAGATGGTTGCATCTTTCTCAAGGAACAAATGTTCTCAGTGAGGCAGTTCTGGAGAGGTTTGCTAGGATGTGTATTTAAGAAGCTAGGAGGGCAAAGGGGTGATAAAACATCAATCCAATTGTCCCCCAAAACAAGGACAGAAGGTGCCTGTAGCAAGTGTGTTAAAAAATGATAAGCTTAGAGTCATGTCTACAAATGCTCGCAGTTTAGGGAATAAGATCCATGAACTTGTGGCAATAATGGCAACTGATAGTGTAGATTTAGTAGCTGTTACTGAGACATGGTATAATGAGAAAATGACTGGGACATAGCAATACCACTCTTTATATACGAAAGATAGGGAAGGCAAGAAAGGAGGAGAGGTGGCCTTGTATGTGAAGGATAGCATAAAATCTAGCCTAATAAAAGTTAGTGAGGCAAACATAGAGTCCGTTTGGGCTACGTTAGAATTTGGTAATCACACAGTAATTCGTGTAGGTGTGATTTATAGGCCCCCAGGACAAATTGAAGAGTTAGATAATCTACTAGTTGAGGAAATAGCTAAAATGACAATGAAGGGGGAAGTTATCATCATGGGTGACTTTAATCTTCCTGATGTAAATTGGAAAACAAAAATTAGCTACTTGTGCCAGGAGCACACATATTCTAAACTCCCTACTGGGATTGTCTCTAAAACAAGTTGTTGAGGAGCCAACTCGTAAAGAGACCATACTAGATTTAGTGTTAACAAATGGAGATTTGGTATCAGATATTACTGTAGGTGAATTTAGGATCCAGTGATCATCAGTCAGTGTGGTTTAATATAAGAACAGTGACTGAGTCACACACAAAAACAAAAGTTTTTAGACTTTTAGAAAAACAGACTTTTCTAAAATTAGAATATGGGTAGAGGAGTCATTATCAGACTGGAGCAATTTAAATGGAGTCCAAGAAAAATGGGATTATTTAAAGTTGCACTATTGAAGGCAACAGAAAATTGCATTAGGCTTGTCAGTAAAAGCAAAAAATTCAAGAAACCACTGTGGTACTCCGCAGATGTGGCCAAAATAGTTAAAAACAAAAAGTTAGCATTTAGGAATTATAAAAAAACCCAGAGTGAGGGAGACAAAATGATCTATAAGATTAGGCAGAAAGAGGCTAAGCAAGTTATAAGAGCTTCCAAATCACACACAGAAGAGAAAATAGCACAGTCAGTAAAAAAGGGGGATAAAACATTTTTTAGATACATAAATGAAAAAAGAAAAGTAAAACAAGGATTAGTTAGATTAAAAACAAAAGAAGGAAGGTATGTAGAAGAGGATAAAGGTCAGGCTGACTGCCTCAATGAATATTTTTGTTCTGTATTTACAGTAGAAAATGAAGGAAAGGGACCTCAGTTGAGAAAAAGGATAAATGAGTCATTTATTACACGTGAGTTTGCAGAGGAAGAGGTTCTATTTCAACTGTCAAAAGTAAAGACAAATAAGTCAATGGGACCTGATGGAATACACCCAAAGCTATTAAAAGAGCTTAGTGGTGTACTAGCAAAACCATTAACAGATTTATTTAACCAATCATTGTTAACAGGAGTAGTCCCAGAAGATTGGAAGTTAGCGAATCTTGTGCCCATTTACAAGAAAGGTAATAGGGAGGAGTCGGGCAACTATAGGCCAGTAAGCCTTACTTCAGTAGTGGGGAAAGTGATGGAAACCATGTTAAAGGATAGGATTGTTGAACATCTAAAAACACATAGATTTCAAGATCAGAAACAACATGGGTTTACTTCAGGGAGATCATGCCAAACTAATCTTATTGATTTTTTTGATTGGGTAACTAAAATTATAGATCAGGGTGGTACAGTAGACATTGCTTACCTAGATTTCAGTAAGGCTTTTGACACTGTTGCACATAGAAGGCTTATCAATAAACTGCAATCTTTAAGTTTGGATTCAAATATTGTTGAATAGGTAAGGCAGTGGCTGAGTGACAGGCAACAGAGGGTTGTAGTTAATGGAATATATTCGAAGCTTAGACTTGTCACCAGTGGGGTACCTCAGGGATCTGTACTTGGACCCATTCTCTTTAATATTTTTATTAGTGATATTGCAGAAGGTCTTGATGGTAAGGTATGTCTTTTTGCTGATGATACTAAGATATGTAACAGGGTTGATGTTCCAGGAGGGATAAGCCAAATGACAAATGATTTAGGTAAACTAGAAAAATGGTCAGAATTGTGGCAACTGACATTTAATGTGGATAAGTGCAAGATAATGCATCTTGGGCGTAAAAACCCAAGGGCAGAGTACAGAATATTTGATAGAGTCCTAACCTCAACATATGAGGAAAGGGATTTAGGGGTGATTATTTCTGATGACTTAAAGGTAGGCAGACAATGTAATAGAGCAGCAGGAAATGCTAGCAGAATGCTTGGTTGTATAGGGAGAGGTATTAGCAGTAGAAAGAGGGAAGTGCTCATGCCATTATACAGAACACTGGTGAGACCTCACTTGGAGTATTGTACACAGTACTGGAGACCGTATCTTCAGAAGGATATTGATACCTTAGAGAGGGTTCAGAGAAAGGGCTACTAAACTGGTTCATGGATTGCGGGATAAAACTTACCAGGAAAGGTTAAAGGATCTTAACATGTATAGCTTGGAGGAAAGACGAGACAGGGGGATATGATAGAAACATTTAAATATATAAAGGGAATCAACACAGTAAAGGAGGAGACTATATTTAAAAGAAGAAAAACTACCACAACAAGAGGACATAGTCTTAAATTAGAGGGACAAAGGTTTAAAAATAATATCAGGAAGTATTACTTTACTGAGAGGGTAGTGGATGCATGGAATAGCCTTCCAGCTGAAGTGGTAGAGGTTAACACAGTAAAGGAGTTTAAGCATGCGTGGGATAGGCATAAGGCTATCCTAACTATAAGATAAGGCCAGGGACTAATGAAAGTATTTAGAAAATTGGGCAGACTAGATGGGCCGAATGGTTCTTATCTGCCGTCACATTCTATGTTTCTATGTTTCTATGTTTCTATAGCGTTAGGAATACAGGTACAGTATTTCTCTAAACATATATGCATAGCTGAATTTGGCAGACTCGTCAGAATTGAATGACTAACAAATGCAAAGCACTTGTCTTCTTATTTTTGGCGCTAATATGCAATGCCAACTTGATGAAGTATGTTCTAATCTGCACAGTAGTTTAACTTCGACAGAAATATAGCTATAATGGGAATAATACCAGGGTACTGGATACCACCATTTACCATATGTTATACCATTGTTAAATCTTTTGCAACATCACACATGATGCTGACTATGCATTTTTTAAAGTAAAACTAGTGTTATTTCCAAAGGCTCTATTGGTGGCTTCTCACATACTGCACCCTCCCAATACTGGAGTCCATCCCAGCCATTCCCTAGGATAATTGTGGGGTAGTAAACTGTGTTCTTTATACAAGGATACTAGAGCTACCTTGATTTCATCCTTGGAGCATGCAAGGATGTCAAGAGGCAGGTTTTTTGTGACTTCGCTGCTCCCACAGCTTTCTTTTCAGAAAAACACTTAGCAGGCATCTAGGAGTTGCTAGGACTGTCGCTGCTCCCACAGTTTACTTTCAGAAAAATACTGAGCAGGCATTTAGGAGATGCCTGCTCAGTGTTATTCTGAAAGTAAGCTGCGGGAGCAGTGAGGTGGCAAAAGAACTGCTCCTTGACATCCTTGCAAGTAAGCTGTGGGAGCAGCGAGGTGGCAAAAGACCTGCTCCTTGACATCCTTGCATGCTCCAAGGATGAAATCAAGGTAGCTGCTTCTGTTTTGGATTATGATTCCCAATTAGCTGATGATTTTAAAAGGCTCAATCCAGGGACAGATTCAGAATTCAGTCTTATTATTCTCTTTCTGAAACAATACAATTTTTGTTACATGTATAGATTATCGCTCACAAAGATAACTATTATTTATTGTCCCATTTTTCTTGACAGGCTGATCCCTGAATCTCCACGTTGGCTGTTAATACGCAAAGAAAAAGAAAAAGCAATAAAAATCATGAATGACATAGCAAGAGAAAATGGAACATATCTGACTCCTAATTACTGCCAGGTATTCCATAATAACATTGCTAACACATACCTCCCAACAGTCCCTGTTTAGGAGGGACCGTTCCTATTTTGGGCTCCATTTCCTCTGTCCTTTTTTAAGCGCTCCATATGGTTGCTGTGTCTGAGTGTATAACAGAGCTCCACAGCAATAATAGCTCACTGTGATGTTTATTTAAACTATAATAAATGTGTTTAGAAATCATTTGTGCAAATAAGATACATTGTTCTAAATTACATTTTAGATGCATTAATTGTTATTAGTGAGTCACCTAACATTTCTCAGAACAAGATGCCCCTAGCCACACTCCACTAGCATGCTTAAAGGACCACTATAGTGCCAGGAAAACATACTCGTTTTCCTGGAACTATAGTGCCCTGAGGGTGCCCCCACCCTCAGGGACCCCCTCCCGCCCGGCTCTGGAAGGGGGAAAGGGGTAAAAACGTACCTTTTTCCAGCGCTGGGGAGCTCTCCTCCTTCTCTCCTCCTCCGATCCTCCTCCTGTTCTGAATGCGCACGCGCGGCAAGAGCTGCGCGCGCATTCAGCCGGTCACATAGGAAAGCATTCATAATGCTTTCCTATGGACGCTGGCGTGCTCTCACTGTGAAAATCACAGTGAGAAGCACGCAAGCGCCTCTAGTGGCTGTCAATGAGACAGCCACTAGAGGATCAGGGGGAAGGCTTAACCCATTCATAGACATAGCAGTTTCTCTGAAACTGCTATGTTTATAAAAAAAAATGGGTTAACCCTAGCTGGACCTGGCACCCAGACCACTTCATTAAGCTGAAGTGGTCTGGGTGCCTAGAGTGGTCCTTTAAAATTATAGTGCCTTATAGTGCCCCTCTGTGCATTTGAAATGTTGGAAGGTGTGCAAGCACATACTTTAACTGTAAACAATCACTTTAATATGTCTAACGTATATGAAGCATACTATGTATAAAATTATTTATTTCTGTGAATGCATTTTAGAATCGGCTATGGAGCAAATATTTGGATCAGGGCCTAATATTGATGTTTGCAGGAACGATCAGAAATTAAATGAGCAGATTTGCAGTAATTCTTTGAGTAATCTCTCTCTCTCTGCTCTGTTCACCCACTTACTTTATACCTCTGTCAATACGTTTTATTTTTCCCTGTCTTTCACAAAAACAAGTACTTTATGCTTTCTCTATTACAGTGTTTTCCAATTTCTGTATAGGTTTGCTTTATATCTATAGAATCATGGTATCTAGATAGAGACTCATTGCACATGTGCTATATACATATGGTGTAGTGATCTGTTTTAAAAAAAATAAAAAAATAAAATTGCTGCAAATGGCCAGAAAGGATAATACAATTAGAAATTATATAAACAGCACAAATACAAATTTGATGCTGGACCAAATTACATAAAACCTATGAATCGTTAGGGAACATTGAGGGACTCTAACCTTGAATGTGGAGTCCTTTAGCCCATTTCCTTTTGATCTGTCACTCTCCCAGTAGTCTGCTTGGTTTCGAAGCAGCGCAGTGATAAAAGCTCTGACACTATCATATTCCGTTCATATCTCTATCACTGCGCTGCTCCATCTCCCAACTGAGTTTTATTTAGGGAGAGTACACCAATCATAGGGGTCAGGAGAGTAGCCAGGGGTACTACACAATGAAGTGCAGGTCCAGGGTGAGGCTTTGGTGAGGGGACGCCAAATTACTTTGGCCTCAACCCCCTGGTATATTTTTATACTAGCAACTTCCCTGAGTTAAAAAATTACCAACTTTATTGTGGTATGATAAACTGCAATTCATTTTCTTAAGCTGTAGAAGTAGATACCACTAGCATGTATTTTTTTTTTGTTTTATAACTATCTATTTTTTTATAATTTACCAGGAAATGACATTAAAACACAAATACTTTAGTGAACATTCTCCGTTACAATGCAGTCTTTTCAAAGTATGCTTTAGCCTTCACTGCTATTCATTTCCAGTCAATTCGTTATCTTCTGTTAGAATTCGGCAGCTGCATCCTCTGACTAAACTCATTGATACAGAAGCAGTGTTATTAGAAACCGTAGCCTGCATAATATAGCAATAGATGCAGAGCAAGCCTGTGAAGTAAGCTTTACAAAATCTCAGGGTTTTTTGATACCACTCCAATGTCTCATAGGCATTATGGACAGCTCATTCAAGTCAGTGTCCTGTTCATCTACAATTAGGGGATTCATTGCTTGTAAAATGGGCCATTTATGCTTCAATGGGAAGTGAAGCAAATTGTGTATCTATAGAACAGCTAAAAGAAGGTTACATCCTTATCAATCAATAGCAGTCATTTTGTTTTTTTATCAAATCTGAATTACATGATCAAGGAAAACACTTTTAGCGTGTATTCTTTTCCTAGTAATGAGTGAATCTATATTTTATTTCTGCATTTACTACTTTTTTGTCAAATTATTTGTGCATAGTGGAAAATTCATGTTAGACCTTGTGTCCCCCCCGTCTTACCCCCCCACCCCCACCCACCAACAAAAATGGAAAGGCAAAATTTATTAAATGACCCTCAATTTGCAATTTTTTTTTTAAATCGATTAGGCGAAGACCAGAATAATAAGTATTGTTCACAAATTCCTATTCTAAAATTTTAAAAATTGTACCAGCCTAAATTAGTGCCAGGAAAACAAAACTTGTCATAGGTGTCATATTAGATATCCTATATTAAAATTAGCTAACTTGGACTCAGGAAATGCTTAATGCTTAAAGGAGCACTATAGTGCCAGGAAAACAAAACTTGTTCTCCTGGCACTATAGGGTAATTAGGTCCCCCCCACCCTCAAAGCCCACCTCCTACTAGGCTGAAGGGGTGAAAACCCCTTCAGCCACTTACCTTTCTCCAGCGCCTGGCTCCCTCTGTGCTGGGGAACTCTCCACCACCTGCCGACATCAGATCCGAACGCGGCAAGGGGCGCGCACGCATTCAAACAGCTCGTATGAAAGCATTACTCAACTATGTGATTTTCACAGTGAGAATTGTGGAAGCGCCTCTAGCCACTGTCAGGGAGACAGCCCCTAGAGGCTGGATTAACCCACAGAGAAACATAGCAGTCTCTGAAACTGCTATGTTTTCAGCTGCAGGGTTAAAACTAGAGGGACCTGGCACCCAGACCACTTCATTGAGCTGAAGTGGTCTGGGTGCCTATAGTGGTCATTTAAAACAACACATAAGACCATATATAGAATAAAAGATATATACACCTTAGACACATACACATACAGTATAATACCTATCACTGTGTAGCCAATGGACAGGGTAAATCTAAAAGAGTAAGAAAAAATAACACATAGTGCTTTCTGTATGTATAATAAAAGAACAAAAAAATGCAGGAGGAATAAAACTCACAAAGTATAGAGCCGTGTCAGGCTCTATATACTGCATTCCAGGGTGCCTATATAGGCTTAGAGATGTGTGGTTCTTCCTTCTGTAATCAGTACTGAAGATGGAGGCTCCAGTTGAATAATAAAAAAATATCTATTACAAGGTATAACACCAAATTTAAAAACAAAGTAGGGACAATAAGCAGTGCAAAAATAACATATAGAAGTCACCGCAAAGAAAAATATGCAAAGTCCCAAATCGCAATCAGCAGACTCGTTTCGACTCCTCCTGGAGTCTTCTTCAATGCTGATCTGTGCCTCCATCTTTACGGCATAAATATGCTAATGATTAATCTTCATTATCTTTACCTGGCTTTGTTCCAACGTCTTTTCCAGCGAGTAAATCATGCATCATTGTGGCGCACATTTGCATCACTTCTGGTTTCGGAGTGAGTCCGGCACAAGGGCGGAAGAAGTCTGGGTGCCATTTTGCTTAAGGGAAAATAATCCTCAAACGAAGTAATACATAAATATTGACAGGGAATAAATATAATGCAATAGGTTAATACTATATTGTAATAGCCCAAGTGTGCAAACGCTAAATCACAATAAATAGAGATAAAACAAGTTGATAAAAATACAAAACTACACAATACTCAAACAGTATATTAGATAAAAGGGAAATTGCTTATAAGTTACCCACAAATTAGAGAAAATTGACCAATTCAAAATCAATATTAAGACCTTTTGGAACCAAGGTATCTAGAGTAAAAATCCATCTAGTTTCTATTTTGCCACGTTCTTTAAAATTATCTTCTCCTCTCCAATTAGGGACTTTTTTATAAATGGCCATAAAATGTAAAAGTGATGGATCCTTATTGTGAAATTTAGCAAAATGTGCCGATACACTATGTTTTTCGTACCCCCTCTGGATATTGACCCATGTGTTCCGCAATACGTGTTTTTAAATTCCTGGTAGTCATACCTACGTACTGCAGTCCACATGGGCACCAGAGGAGGTATATAACATTGGTGGAATGACAAGTTAAAATATCTCTGACGTTAAAATTATTCCCTGATACTGACGACTTAAAGATGTAATGGGCGCCTTTTTAAAACTCGGCTTTTTGCAACCAGAGCACGTTTTGCAGTAATAAAAACCAGATTTTTGATTGAATGTATTAGTAGTCTTATTTTACGTGTTTTTTATGTCAAAACCCTTCCACCCAGACCCAAAATATACCCCCAAAAAAGAGTGTGGGTTCGAGAGGAAGGGGAGTTCGAGCAGGACGACCATTGGGAGAGAAAAAAAAAGGAAAGATGAATGTATAGGAATTTTTAATTTATCCAATAAAACCCTAACTGATCACCAAATACAGGTCCTTAATATAGGGCTTAAATTCGCACCTACTTGTTCTAATAACCCATTTAATTCTTTTATCGACATTCAAAAATGTATCCAGAATTTAAGTTTGACATTTTTTTTTCAAAAGATCACCATCCCCCCGGCCTTGGAAAATAATCACTCTACCTCTTTTCGCCATACAGAACTTAAAAATAAATCCACGTTTTTTCTAGAGCTCAAGTTAGTGGAGCGATGAAAGTTTTCGAAAAATTGGTAATAGAAGAAATTAAACAAATTTCAAAGTCAGGACAAAAAGAAATTTAAGTTCAATAATCATAATTTAACTTATGCACAAAGAAAAGCCCTCAAAGAATTGAAAGATAATGATAGCCTTGTAATAAAACCAGTGGACAAGGGCAGAGCAGTAGTGGTGTTAAATAAAGAAGACTACATTGCTGAAATAAATAGGACACTGTAACATATAAAAAACTTGACCAGAACCCCTCAATTTCTATCTTTAATCAATATAAAGTTTTAATTAATCAAGGTCGATTACTTCATATTTTTAATGAGAAAGAATTAAAATTTTTAGATATTGGTGTTTACAAAATTCCTGTTTTTTATGCTCTCCCAAAAATTCCTAAGAATTTACAAAACCCTCCTGGGAGACCCATAGTCGCAGGGATTGATTCCATCACCAGTCGTCTCTCGGAATATGTGGACAGGCTACTGCAACCAGTTGTCACTAGCCAGCCCGCATATTTGAAAGATTCCTCCCAACTCATTAGAGACCTAAAGAGTATTGCTGTATACAATTATTTCCCACTCATTAGGATGTAAAGCAGTAGACCACTTCCTTTGTCTACATGGCTTTCCAGGTACTCAAATCAGTTTTATTTTGGAGAGCATCCAATTCATTCTCACTAAGAATTATTATTGGTTCGAGGGATCAAACTTCCACCAATTAGTCGGTTCTGCGATGGGGACCAGGTTTGCCCCCAGCTATGCCAATTTTTTTTAAGTCTTATTGGGAGCAATTATTTTTGCTTGACATGGATAGCTGGGGTGACAGC